AAACAACAGCTTTTCAGTGTAGACAAGACAGCCTTATACTGGAAGAAGATGCCATCTAGGACTTTCATAGCTAGAGAGTAGTCGATGCTGGCTTCAAAGTTTCAAAGGACAGGCTGACTTTTTCCTGTCAGGGGATAATGCAGTTAGTGACTTTAAGTTGAAGCCAGTGCTAATTTACCATACCAAAAATCCTAGGGCCCTTAAGAATTATGCTGAATCTACTCTGCCTGTGCTCTATAAATGGAAGAACAAAGCCTGGATGACAGCACATTTGTTTACAACATGGTTTACTGAATATTTTAAGCCCGCTGTTATGACCTACTGCTCAGAAAAAAAAGATTCCTTTCAAAATATTATTGCTCATTGACAGTGCACCTGGTCATCCAAGAGCTCTGATGGAGGTGTACAAGGAGATTAATGTTGTTTTCATGCCTGCTAACACAACATCCATTCTGCAGCCCATGGATCAAGGAATAATTTCAAGTTTCAAGTCATTTAAGAAATACATTTTGTAAGGCTGTAGCAGCCACAGATAAGTGATTCCTCTGATGGATCTGGGCAAGTGTAAATTGAAAACCTTCTGGAAAGGATTCACCATTCTACATGCCATTAAGAACATTCATGATTCATGGGAGGAGGTCAAAATAAGGAGCTTGGAAGAAGTTGACTTTGAGGGATTCAAGACTTCACTGGAGAAAGTTAACTGCAGATGTGGTGGAAAGAGCAAGAGAACCAGAAGTGGAGTCTGAAGATGTGACTGAATTGCTGCAATCTCATAATAAAACTTTAACAGATGAGGAGTTGTTTCTTATGGATGAGCAAAGAAAGTGGTTCCTGAGATGGAATCTACTCCTGGCGAAGATGCTGTAAACGTTGAAATGACAACAAAGGATTTAGAATATTACATAAACAGTTGACAAAGTAGCAGCAAGGTTTGAGAGGATTGACTCCAGTTTTAAAAGAAGTTCTACAGTGGGAAAACGCTATCAAACAGCGTAACATGTACAGAGAAATCTTTCATGAAAGGAAGAGTCAATCTATGTGGCAAACTTCACTGTCGTCTTATTTTAAGAAATTGCCACAGCCACCCCAACCTTCAGAAACCACCACCTTGATCAGGCTGCAGTCATCAACATCAAGGCAACACCCTCTACCAGCAAAGATTACAACTTGCTGAAGGTTCAGATGATGGTTAGCATTTTTTAGCAATAAAGTATTTTTTAATTAAGGTATGTACATTTTTTAAAGACATAATGCTATTGCACACTTAATACAGTTTAAACATAACTTTTATATGCACTGCGAAACCAAAAGATTCGTGACTCACTTTATTGCAATATTTGCTTTATTGAGGTGGTCTGTAACTGAACCTGAAATATCTCCAAGGTGTACCTGTATTGTTGAAATTTCAATTCTACCCACTAATCTACAAATTCAATACAATCCCAATCAAAATCTCATCACTTTTTTTAAAAAAACTGACAAACTGATTGTAGAATTCATATAGAAATACAGAGCAAGTATAATGTCCAAAGCAATCTTAAGAAAGTGAACAGAGTTATAGGACATAACTGCTTTATTTGAAGACTAACCATAAAACTACATTAAGACAGACTGGGACTGTCCCAAGGACTGACAAATCAGCGTTTCAGAAAACAGAGCTCAGAAACAGACCCACACTTAACAGGAAAGTCTTTTTAACAAATGGTCCTGGAATGACTGACTATCCATATAGGAAAAAAAAAACTCCTGCCACACACCATACACAAATATTAACTCTAGATGTGTCATAGACCTAAATATAAAAGGTAACACCATAAAGCTTTCAGTGGAAAATATGAGAGTATCTTCATGGCTTGGGATAGGTACAGGTTCTTAGGTTACAGAAAGCAATAACTAAAAAGAAAAAAGTTACAAACTAAACCTCATCAAAATTAAAAACTTCTGCTCATCAGAAGATTCCATAAAGAAAATGGATAGGCAAGCCACTAATTGGGGAAAAATGTTCACAAAACATGCATTCTGACAAAGGACTAATAACAAAGGTAAAGAATTGCTATAACTCAGTAATAAAAAGACAAACCAAATTTTTAATGGGAAAAATTTTGTACAGACATTTCACAAAGGAAATAAATGGCATAAGCACATGAAAAAGTGCTTAACATCATTAGTCATCAGGGAAATGCAAATAAAAACCACAATGAGATTTCATTACACCCCCACCAATTGAAAAGACTGACACCACCATTTGTTTTGATGTGGAACAACTGGAACTCTTAAACATTGTTAGTGGTAGTACAAATGATACAATTACTTTGGAAAAAAGATCTGGTAGTTTCTTATAAAGAAATATGTATTTATTATGTGTGTATATATGTATGTGTATATATAGATCCTGTCACCCAACAATTCCACTCCTAGGTTACTTACCCAAGAGAAATAAAAACATGGCCACAAAAAGACTTCTACGTGAATATTCATAGCAGCTTTTATTCATAACAGCCAAAAACTGGAAACAGCCCAGGTGTCTATCAATAGAATGGACACATTTTGTTATATTCATACAAGGAAATACTACTCAGCAATAAAAAGGAACAAATTATTAATGCATGCAACAACACTGGATGAATCTCAAAAACATTATGCTGAGTTTGTAGAAGCCTTACACAAAGAGTAAAAATTGTATGATATCTTTTATATGAACATTCTAGAACAGGAACAACTGATTCACGGTGAAAAAAAAAAAACTCCAGGACATTGGTTATCTCTAGGGGGTGGAGGTCAGGACTGACTAGGAAGGAGCATGAGGGAAATTTCTGGGTTGATGGTGATGTTTTATATTGTGATAGGGATTTGAGTTATACATTAAAAATATGGGAACACATATTTACCTCTAGTTAATGACATGTGTGTGCATGTATTTAGAAGGAAGTACACTGATGTCAGTAATTTACTTTGAAATGCACCAAAACTAGAATGGATAAAAGGATAGCGAGAAGGATGGATAGATGGATAGCTATAAAGCAAGTATGAGAAAAACGTCAATGGTGGAATCTAGATGGTAGGTATACAGGCTTTATACAATAAAATTCTTTCCACTTTGCTGTATGTTTGAAAATTTTCATAATAAAATGTTGGGGGCAGTAGTTTTAAATAAACAGAATTGAAGTAGTTTAAATTCTAACACGACAAATATACACCATGACAGGATTTGCACCCTTTCGCATATATAAAGATAAATGGAGAAAGGTAAAACAATTTAATTAAAACAGGTCAAGAGACAGGTAAAATTAAATGGCAAACCAAACCTGGCCTCAGGCAGGGCTTCCCACCCCTACTTTAATGCTCCTCTCTCCTAAAATCCAGTCTGTCTTTCATTCTTTTTGGCACTCTCTCTTATCCTGCTTTGCTAATTAAGATTTAAATAATACAGAGAATAGTGGATAAAGACTTCTCAGCCATTTTGTACCAGGCTTCTTTCAACTACCTGGTAAGACCACATTAATACGGTATTTCCGAAGAACTACAGTACTACTACATCAGCTTGTGGCAGCTATAATTTCTATGTGGCCCTCATTAGTATCTTTGTCAAATCATTCATTCATTTAAAAAAAAACTGTTGCGCATCTGTTATGTGCTCTGTTCTCAAGAAGCTTACAATCTGGTGTGGGAAGCAGAGCAATAAGCCATTACAGTGCATGGTGTGGTAAAAGACATTAACTTTCAATAGATCTTTAAGGAAGCATGATTTTTGCTATTTTATAGATGAGATGGAAGCTTAAAATACTGTAAATAACTTGCTTCTAACCACAAAGTTTAATGGAGAACCCAGGATTTGAATCCACATAGTCTAACTCCAGAGTCCATAGGCTTAACCATGACATTATCCTTCTTAACTATATTTTAGGAAATATTGTAGAACCTTCAACTTGAGTCACAATAATATCAACAGCTAACATTTCCCACTTTGGCTTACCTTGTTAAGTCCAAGCCAGAACTACACAGCAGCAGAATCTCAGTAGACACATTATCTCTATATTAAGACACTGAGTGACTACAGCCTCATGCAACTTGCTCAAGTCTCTCTGGTTGCAGGGCAAGTTGTAACAAGCAGACAGATGGCTTCATGAATAGGTTGTTGGCAACCAAAACTCCAGACCAAATAGGAATTCCCACCCTAAGGACAGTCTCTCCCCATCACCTACTGCAACCCTTCCAGAGCACCAGTCTGATCAATCACCCACTCTGAGGAGCAACACCGACCAAAGCAGCAGCCTGCTCGATCGTCTGGCCTAACTGAGGAGCGACACTGACCGCTGAGATCCCTTTCATTCTTCTTAGGATTGTCAGCGAAAACCAAACTCCCAACTGCAGAGCCCAGAAGAGCAACCCTCAACTCATCTCCATCTATCTCCTCAAAACCCCATAACTCAGTGCTCTCCCTGAGGATGGCTGTGATGCCCTAAGCAGAAGTTCTAAAACCTAGGACATCAAAAAAGATGGGGGCTCTGACAGTTATGAAGCATCAGCTAGATGCAGGTGCTTTTAGTGAGCTGCCTGTACGTGAATAATCTATAGCCCACATCTGGGCATTCTGAGACAGCCCTCTTCTCTGTGTGCACTCTAGCTCCCCACCACACCGCACACATTTTTAAAGTTACCATTAAAAAATGAAATTTGTATGCCATGTCACATGCCATCACACATCCCATTTGAATCACTCAAATGGCATCTAAGATCCTACCCAGTCAAAATGCCTAATCCCAGACCTGGACACAGGTAAGGCTGCCTGTGTCCAGTTCATGCACGTTCAGTTCACAGCATCACCTAGGTTCACGTACAGAGGCTACTCCCAGGACCAAATCACACAGCCAACAGTCTTATGCTGGGAGCTGTCCCAGTCTGGCCGTGCACTGGTGGCTGCCTAGGACCAGGCAGGCACCTTCTCTCAGGTCTCTTCTGTCCCTGCTGAGGAAAATCACAAAAGACCTCCAAGCTGCTTGAGTTAAAGTCTCCATTTATTTTATTTTTTTTTAACAAAAATCCAATGTTTAAGACCATTGTGCTCGTGATTGGAAAAGGGGTGGGTTGAATGGATATGGCATGGATACCCAAGAGCTTTTCCCTTCCAAACAGCCTTTCAGACCAGGAGCTCCCTAAGTGCACACCCAGGCAGCTGCTGGATAGACTGCTCCTGCCTCCAGGCAGGACCCCATCGGCTAAGTGGGCAGCCCATGGCTTGAGGTGCAGTTCAGACCAGATGTAAAACCACTACCAGGGGCCTAAAAGCTCAGAATGGCATAATGAGAACCTTGGGGAAGCTATCACTTAGTCATATAATCCTTCATGGTGAAAAGCAAACTGGCTAATTAGAGAACAGGAATGTGTCTGGGCCCTGGGAGCAAAGACTGGGTAACAAGGAGTCTTCTCCCCTGTGTGCAGCCAAGGAAATTCATGTGGGTCGGCAGAGCTGTTTTCATGTTCCAGGTGTGTCGGGTGCAAATATATGGGTTTTCCGTGGTGATCAGCATCAAAGGCATTCTAAATACTGGGACTCACCCTAATCCACCTGGCAAAAAGTGGCAGTCATTCTTCAGGGGTATCTAACCAAGCAGCGTGCAATGTCTGACTGCTCAGCCTCTCGCTACTAAAGAGTATCCTTTAAGAACAGGGGCCAGTGTCCCTAGAGCCTGCTCTTTGGAGTCCTTCAACTTAGTGTTCCTGTCAGGCCAAACAGTGCTATCCTTTTATCACAATCCTCCCTCCAGCACACTTTTGTCATCAGTAGCCTCAGACCCTTCAGCTATTCATGGATCTACCAATAATGTTCAAGAACCCAAGAGTGGGGCTCCACTTAAGGGGTCCTAACATACAGACCTATCTTCTCTCACCAGATCCCACTGAAAGTCAATTTATGAGTTCCTCACATTAAAATAAACAAAATAAAATAGCAGCCACATATATAGCTCAAAACACCACTCTTTGGCTCCCTTGAGGGAAGAAGGCTGCTAAAAAGAACAAATTCAGAAGTCAAGGAAAAGGTAGTCAGAAAGTTAGGATGCAGAAGTCTGGACCTTTTTGCTGCGTTGCGGAGATGCATAACCAAATTTCGTAGGTAGCTGCCTCAGGCAGGAGAGCTACAAGAAGATGCCAGTGGAAACCTCTGGAGAGACACACGTCCTGGGAGCAGCCCTGCCCCCGTTTGCCAGTGAGGAGAGTTCCTGTGAGCCAAGCTAAGGCTACAGTTGGGTAGTAGCAACAGCAAAAAGCCTGGCTTCAAAATGGTACTTCAAGAGAACCCATTTGGTACAGGCAGGTTAGAGGAGATTGTACCCCCGAGACACAGAAGCACAGGGTGTCAAGGTCTAGGGAAGACAGAACTGGCTGTTAAGGCATATGCTTGACCAGGACAGACCTGAGCTTTTTCAGCTGCTGGAACCTTCTACGCTCAACTTCATTTGAAGAAATTGGGCTTTGGAAAAACAGTAGAAATCATGTGCTAAACCCTTGAAAAGTACCACGAACTCCCTCCTTGGCTGCCTTACCACCGCCACCAAAAAATTAGCTTATTTCAGTTTCAGCCCAAATAATAGAAACTTAAACCAGGAGTGGAACATAGCAATGAGGGGAGTAAATGCTTGTTAAATTAGAAGACTGGATTTGAGCTTACCTAGCAAATCATATCTCCCATTTTTCTAGCACATATCAAACCTCAGGAGGTCCTGTGGCCAACCTGGTATTCCAAACCCACTGCTGTCAAGTCGATTCCAACTCATAGCGACCCTACAGACGGAGCAGAACTACCCCATAGGGTTTCTAAGGAGTGGCTGGTGGATTCGAACTGCCAACATTTGGTTAGCAGCCGAGCCAGGACTCCAACCTGGCATTAGGAGTCTAAAAACTACAGGTAACACAGGATGTAGGTGCAGACAAAGGTGGAGAGGAAGGTGAATTTCACCAAGGTACTAATCCCAAGGCAGGTGCCTTGCTGTAAGACTTCCCGGCCAGCGGGTGGGGATCCTCAAAGGATGCCTGCTTATTCTATGTCCAGAGAGAGTGGGTCAGCCTGCAAACCACTTCAGACCACAACTTTTTTGTCCTCTTATCCACGAGATAACACTTCAGGAAAGTCTGAAGCCAAATGGCAACCTGTTTTTAAATGGGAGGGCAGAACAAAAGAAAGTCATTTGAGAGTGCTATCTTCAGACCTTATTCCTTCCTCATTCTTTGCCTCTTCATTCTCTTCCACACAAGGGAGAGAATGGGAATGCAGGGATAAGTACTAGGACAAGCACTACCTGATGATGAATCCTCAAAAACCACTGAATCCAACAAAAGGAAGCTCAGTTGTTCACAAAGGTATGGTCTTTCCCAAGGATTCAGATGAAAGAATCTGAGTTATAAACTGCTAATTAGCAACAGAAAGTAAAGGGAACAGATCTTATCTTATCCAAGGCACTATAAGAGGGCCAAGTTCATCCCTTTCTTGTTTCTGCAAACAGACACCCCTGGGGAGGATGGGAGATGATCTTTAAGGATAAGCCAGGTCACCCAAGGCTAGGATCCATCTCCACTGAAATACAGAACATGAGCCTGGTGAGTCCCTCATTAGTGAGTTAGGCAAAAATTTTGAACTCCACCCCCCCCAAAAATATATATATGAGTGTGTGTGTGTATATGTAGATATGTGTGTGTGTATATGTAGATATGTGTGCGTGTATATATATGTATACATACACACACACACACCTATAAATAAGCCTTGACGGCAAATCTGAAATTTTTTCTTTTTAAATAATAATAGTCATTACTGAATTTAAAAACCACAAACCAGCTGTCCTGGGCTTATGAACTAAGTGAGTGACTATCCAGAGTCCCCATGGTCCTCAGTGTAAGCTATCAGTCAGTGCCCTGTAGAGGGAACCCCAGTGTCTTCTGACCAGGGTTCCAGTGAGAGCAGTTCAGAATCTGCCTAGGCCCAATGTGGCCAACTTCAAGATAAAGGCAGCTATTTCTTTTCCACTCTTCCTGCCACCTCTCCCAGCAGCAGGTCTGGGCCACCCATGCAGCGGATGTCCCCAGGGTCCTTCAATGCCTAGGAACCTTAGGAGCCATCTTCCTCACTGCCCATCCTCTCCCCAGAACTTGCAATGCCCCTAGATGAACTTGAAGCACTTGGTCTTGTCGTGGGGCAGGCGAGTCTTGAAGAGTACAGAGTCCACCCTGAATTGAGTGTACAGCAGAGGCATATAGCCATACACCTTGACAAAGAAGTTGATACATCTGTGTCGCTCATGAAAGTGGGAGTCATCGTGTGACAGGGCCTGAGGGCATCCTGGGCACCGGAAAGTCCACCGTGAGGTCACCTGGACATCGAGAAGAAAGACTACTGAATAAGAATCACAGGTGCAAATATGGCAGCAACCTTGCAGCTTCACCACGTCAATGCTTCCATTTCCACAGTGAGGACACTGAACCCCAGTGGCTACATGAACTCACAAAGTGAGTTTGGGCAAAGCCAGATTGCCAGGCCAGGGCTCTCTTCCTACCATGTATGTTATCTAAAACATTGTTACTGGTGTTCTTTCAAAATGGCCTAGACTTAACAGATATCAAAAGCCTTAAAAAGTTTTTTGTAATTTGTCTCAGTAATTCTACTCCCAGTATTTATCTTGGTTGCACACCAAGGTGTATGCACAAAGTTGCTCATTTCAGCAGTGTTTTTAATAGCAAAATAGAAGAAGGACTAGTTAAATAATTATAAAACACTACACATCTGTTTAAAGTAATGTTTAAGAAAATTATATTTAGACATGTGAAAGTGGTCATACTATCATGCAGTTTAAGATTATTATTATTCTAAGGAAATTTCAAGCAATTAGAAAAGTATTAATAATATAATCACTTTATTACAAAGTGGCAAACCAAATCTCATAAAAACCTACAGAACACCTGAAAACGTAGGATAAACCCACAAATAATCTCTTTAAATACACGGCTGAGCTTGCAATAAAGTAAAGGAAATCCTTGGAGGCCAAAATAACAAAAAAGCCTGAATCCAATGAGACAGCAAGGAGCGCTGCTTTCTAATGGGCTGGAGGTGGCAATAGGACAGACATGTGGGAAGTCAAACTGTAGGCTTTTTGAAACCCTGAACACAGTAAAAAGCTGCATGGGTTAGGGGAAGCCCCACAGAGAGCTGCTAAAGAAACATTTCCGTCTCAGTCTTAGCTCTAAGTGGAGAATTTACAACCACCAGCTGGCCCTCACACATGTCTGGGAGTCCTGAAAAGCCCCAAGATGCTAACTTAGCTTAAACAGGTCTCAAGTAGGTAGTGATCCCAGGCACGTGGAAGAAGCAAATACAATTCCTTAAATCCAAGCCTCAAAGAATTTCCATAAATAAAATCCCAAATAATATAATCTCACAATCAAAAGTCACAAAAAAGGGAATGAGCCACATGAGTGAGACTCTAAAGAGGCCAATAACAGAATCAGAAATAATAATAATAATAATGTACCAATATTGGTATATTATGACAAATGTACCATACTAATATGTTAAAAGTCAGGAAACTAGAGATGGGTGCATAGGAATTCTGTACTATCTTCATAACTTTCTGTAGATCAAATCTATTCTAAAATTAAAGTTTATTTAAAAAGTAAAAAAAATTAAAACAACAAAACTAAGTTATAGTGTTGAGGAATGCGTACTTAGGTGATAAAAGTATAAAGAAAAACAATGAAGTGATTACCATAAAAGCCATGACATTGATTAACACTGGGGGTGGGGAGGGGGCCATGATTGGGAAAGGGCATACAGGGAGCTTCTGGGGTCCTGGCCACCCATAGTAAAGGGTTGTTGTATAATAATTAAGTTGAACATTTAAGTTTTCTGTATACGTGCATTATATGTTACAATTTACAAGTCTGGGAAAAAAATAAGAGTTAAAGGAAATGAAGAAACAGGAAACCCAAATAATTCTGTAATTATTAAAGACATGGAATCTACTGTTAAGTGTCTTCTCACAAAGGAGACACAAAGCTCAGAGAGATACCAAGTCCGGAAAATTCTCACATTATATTTTTCAAATACAAAGTTCCGTCTTCCCCGTTTTGTCTATTTGTCCCTTCTTGTATTCTTACTGGTTTTGTGTTGGACTTTCTCCTTATATTTTCCATGTCTCTAAACCTCTTTCTTACTTTTATCTCTTTACATCTCTGTGATACATTCTCAGAAATTTCTTCACATTTATCATTAATTTTTTCTTCAGCTATGTCTCATCTTCTTTAATCTCATTCACTGAGATTTCAATTTTAATCATTATAATTTTCATTTCTAGCAGTTCTATTCAGGTCTTTCAAATCTGCTTATCTTTTCCACAGTGATTTGTTGCTTTTTTTATGTTTGTAATTCCTTAGTTTATATCTTTAGTAATTTTGTTTTTGTTGTTAGCTGTCGTCAAGTTCGCCCCCAACTCATAGCAACCTTATGTACAACCAAACAAAACTCTGCCTGGTCCTGCCCCACACCCATGTTCAGTTACAGATTGGACCTTATGATCCTTAAGGTTTTTACTAGCTGATTTTCAGAAGTAGATTGCCAGACCTTTCTTCCTTGTCCATCTTAGTCTGGAAGCTCCACTGAAATCTGTTCAGCATCATAGCAACATGCAAGCCTTCACTGACAGATGCGTGGTGGCTGTATATTTTAAACCTACATATTCTGTAGTCTATCCAACGGTTTTCTTATCTGGAATTCTTAGAGAACCATTTGTCATGTCTGTGAACTCTTGGCTCATGGTCCACTGTTGCTTCATTTGATGTTAATTTTGATTCCCAACTCATTTTCTATGAGGCTTTATCTGTGAGTATCCGATATGGCCTGAGACATTAAAAAGGTTGTCTCTTTTTAACAGTTTTAGGTCTTATTCTGCAAAACAGCTCACTGGCTAGGTATGAGTTTCATATAGCCATGAGTCCTCAAACCCATGGAGGCCCAGACTCACATTTAAAAATTCTCAATCTATACTTTTCTCCCTGTACCTGCCAGAGCCCAGGTTAAAATAAACAAGTTGCCTGTCATCCTCCTGGGACAATGGGTCAGAGATCTCAGTTCCAATTCCCTGCCTTTAAAAGGCCCAAAGGTTCTTCACTCTTTTCACATGAGTGATAAAACTCAAGCCTTTAAATGACTAAGTTGATGACACCCCCACCGAGGGTACCCACAGTGACAGCTCCTATGCTTACCACTCTGATTTTTAGTTCTCCCTTCCTTTCTGGGGTTGCTGTGAGTCGGAATCAACTTGACAGCAACAGTTTGGTTTTTTTGTCTGTTTCCTTTCTGGGAAGTTTCTTACTTTTTTAATGGGCCCAACTATACAATGAAAACAATGTTTGTTACAGGTTATTTAGCATTTTTAGGTATTTATATTGACAGGGTTTTTAGATTATCTTGGCCACTATACTGCCAAAACTAAAAAATTTACTGTCAAGTTTTCTAAAAGCAGACTACAAAGGAAGTATAATAAATTTTAAAAATTAAAATTAAAAAAGCCACCACCACAGGCAGGGAACCAGAGAACCAAAAGAGATATGCCAAAATATCTGAGTAATTTTTATTTCGTTCTGAATATATGTTTTCCCAAATAACTTTAAATATTTCCATCCCACAATTTATGGCTAAAGAATAATCACTGCATACAGCCAACATCAGCCATCAGGACCCATGTTTCCAGAGTCTGAATTGAGAGGTGAACACAGGTCAGGCTCCAAGCAGCAGCTCACATCAGCACCAAAACTCTAGGGAGGCCATGACTTCTATAGCTCCTTTTTCTCTAGGACCCACCAGTTCCTCACTTCTCACTCTCACTCACTGGCAGCTCTCCTGGAACCCTTCAGGTTTACAGTCAACAAGGAGTTATTACCATTCCCACCAGCTTTTAGATGAGAATATTATCAAACAACATCTATGTCCCTCTACCTAATCTTCCTCCTTATCCCATATGCCAGCATCCAACCTCTGGGGAAAAGACCTTTAACTTGAAATTGATCCCAGTTGGCACAAAAAGTTATTTCACAGTGTTGTTTTTACTAAAGTAGTAGTTTCCGAACGTTTTAATCATGTAACCCATCAGTAAAAAAATTTTTGAGACCGCATCCCCAGTATATTTACAAAGTATAAATATACATATAAAGTGCTATATATTTATATTCTAAAACATACAAAAAAGAAATTAAAAAGAACAAAGTAACAAATAAATATAAACAGAAGTTTAAACTTTTACTTAACTAATACCGTGGATTATATTTTACACGGAAACATTCCAGGTAACTCAATCTGACTAAGAGAAATAGTAGTGTTTTGCTTAGTAACAACAGTAAGGAAAATCCTTAATAGATGCTGAGAGCCTGTATTACAACAGATAATTAAGATGTTTGTTTCCCCTCTCTACTTCTTTTTCACTTAAGCCATCTTATCTTCTCAATGCTTTCTATGTGAACTTTTAATCATTTATCCTGAATGAAGCCTGTTTTAATTCTAGGTCTTTCTCTTCCTCCCAAAGATTACTGTCATTATTCAAAGCAATAATACAACAGTAACTCCCTGTTCTTTATTTAGTCAGTATTGTTAAGATATTAACATCATTGAAAGAACACTGATGATCATATAAAGCAGTAAAAGCTTTCTAACTACCAAGGAAAAGAAGAGTTTAACAGTGAAATTTTGAGGTACTTAAAGCAATATATATATACTATTTTAAAACATAAAACAGTATGTATGTACTATTTTAAAACAAAATAGTACATATATATACTATTTTAAAGTGTAAAATAGTACATACATATGCTATTTTAAAACATAAAATAGTACATATATATGCTATTTTAAAACATAAAATAGTACATATATACGCTATTTTAAAACATAAAATAGTATATATATTTGATACTCCTAAAGTAAGGTAAATAAATAAATATTATGAAGAAAACAATTAGAATCTGTAGGAATTAACTCAGAATTTGAAGATATTCTTAATTTACTGAGCCATTAATTTTAAAGTTATCTCAATCCTAAATTATTCTTCTATTCCAGTAAGATTGAGAAAATTCAGAGAGAATATTTTTGAAGTTTTCACTTGATAAGAATGATGTATACCATGTTCAAATTATTTCTATCTCATTCACTACATTAAAGAGATGGTTTAGCTAATGACATATTCGTCTAATAATATAGAAGAAAAACATTTTAATGAAGATGAAAAAGTCATCATGTCTGTGAGTGCTTCAGGTGACTGATGCTATTATTAGGTACCTAATCACTCAGATACTTTAAATTTTCATGGAGCAATGTCTTCTGTTCTACTAGGGAGACATAATTAGCAGCATGCGTCTTAGCTGAAGTTTAGTACCTTGCTACCTAAGAAAGGACAAAGAAAGAATAGAAAATTGCACCAATCATTAATTACCTTCTAACTAATTAGACCTCTGCCTTCCTACCTTACAGTTTACAAAGAAGTGTAAACTTCTTAATTTTTTTTCCTAATATCAGATCTACCACTTACTTGAAAAACATACTATTTCTATATAAATTGTTGTTACTATTATCATTCAAAGTAAAACAAAGAACACAATTTCATGAATTATTTTGCTAATCTTCTTTTGTGAGGTTTTCACAGAAGTCTCAGCAATAGAAGAAACTACAGGATAATCAGGAATTAAGTTATAACCCTGGGAAAAGGTTTAATTAGATATAAATGGATGCATAAGGCCCCTAAATGTTTTTTTCTCTAATTATGCTGTGCTTTCTTGCATAGAACCAGCGTCCTCTGATTACCAGCCACTCTACTGACCACTAAAGATATATATATAATTTGATTATAGTTGTCAGTACATGTTGGTGGTTACTTTTCTAAAACCTAACTTCAAAAACAGAAGAATAAAACATGCATCTAATTATTATTTACTCATGGTATGAATAACATCTGTGAAGGTAAACTTAATGTTTCATAAAATTAAATAATATGCCTTAACAATAATGAAAATAAGACTTCAATTAGTTTGCTGACCTTTCTAATTCCTACAGATTCTAATTATTTTCTTCATAGTATATTATTTATTTACCTTACTTTAATAGTATCAAACATATATACTATTTTATGTTTTAATTGTTGCAAGGCCCTTACCAGGCCTAATGTCAGCTTCTGTAAGGGCTGATGCTATCCTAACCCTTACCAGAGTGTTTTAACTTGTTGCCTGAACCTACAATGATGACAGAAAGGATGATGGAACTGGTCTTTCTGTGCACAGTGAAACTGGTATATTCTGACTCAAACCTATTCAGAAACTCAGAGACAAAAACTGAACCCAAATTTCTAGAATTCTGAGGGTCATTTTGTTTTTGAGCAAATACCTTGTACAGTACTTACTTAGGTACACTTATGAAGTGTAGCCTGATTCATAATTGAAGGAAATGCTAAATTCCAGTTAGAGATGAGTGAAAATAAAGATATAACATATTCCCCATCCAAGTTACAAACCCTCTGACATCTATCCATTGACACTTTGGGGGCGACAACACCTGCATTAACAAATCATTGAACACTAATAACAATCCTATGAGGTAGGTGGTATCATTATCCCATTATACAGATGAAGACTCTGAGGTATAGTAAAGTACTATGCTACTGCAAAATAAGTGAATTAAGTATGCATGCATTCACAGTCCTATCACAATGGGACCCTCACCTTGATAGGGGGCTTCCGAGTGATGTGGGAGACAAGGAAGTTCATGGCAATGTCTTCACAGTTGATGTATTCATCTACCATATCTCGGATGGCCTGGGGCATCACGTAAGAATACAGGTAGGCATAATACTGTCAGGGGAAGAAAAGAGTCATATAATCTACAAGAGGCAATGGATCTTTGGCTTTCAGCAAAAATATGCATAGATTTAGGGGCTGTTTGGAAGTGTGGGGAGTGTTTTGGGTATGACAATAATTAGGACAATAACTAGCATTTAGGGAGTTGGATGGAGCTGGGGATGCTAACCAAACATCCTGCAATGCAGATCCTTTACAATGAAGAATTATCCCATTCAAATTGCCATTACCACTGCCTTTGAGAAGAAGAACTTCATTTAGCCTCCTTGATGCCTCAGTCATTTTGTAATCAATATAAAGATCTGTCAAATTAGGTCAGACACTGGTTCAGTTGAGCAATATTCTATCTCTGACAATGGAAATAAAGGACAGTTGGGGGAAAGATATGGTTATCTTCCATGGTACCATGAAATACCCACTCCCTCAGCAGCTCACTTACAAATTTTAGAATTTGCTTACTTCTTACCATCTCCACTGGCTACTCCCTGCTCCAAGTCACCATCATCTGGATTATTAGCATAATCTTCTAATATGGTCTCCCTGCTGCTACACATTCTTCCCCTACAGCCTATTCTCAGCACAGCAGAGTGATCATGTTAAAAACACCAGTCCAACTGAGTATGTCACTCCTTTACTCCAAATCTTCCAATAGCTTCCTACTTCATTCAAAATAAAAAAGTGCTTAAAATGTCTTACAAGGCCCCATAAGTGATGTGCTAGAGTTGGCTCATACCTGTTAATGAATGCCAACTGCTAAATTTTCAGGAAGTTTATGGGTTGGTTGTTACAGACACTAATAAATTAAAAATTAATTTATTACGTTTTGCTATTATTTATGTTCTTGAGGTTATTTATGTGTATTGTATCTGTATGGTGGAAATACTGTGTAACGGTATTTTACTGTGCATATTTTCCCAACTCTATTTTCAGTGACTTATGTTGGTAACTTGAAATCAGCCATGGTAAGAATATTAATACCACAGAAACTGGCAAATACTACAAAACAGAGCACTTGTTAACTGTAATGTATTGCAATATGCTGATAATGAACAAACAGGTGAGGTGCTCAGTTAAACTGTTTTATATTTTCTATTACCTTCAATAGTAGACTTTATGTAGTAAAATAATGAATGATCACAAAATCTTTTGTATCACACAGAGGTTTGCTGGTTATCTTGTAGCAAAATACTTAAGAGTTGGTTATCTTAAAAGATGAATTATACATTTTTCTTTTACAAAAAGCCAGGTGATCCAAATTTGCTGACCCTTTCTTAAATGCCAAGTGACTATCATTAGTATGTTAATGAGCATGTATTTTAAAGTAAACACAATCCATATTTCAAGGGAAAGCACAGCAGTAAGGTATTTTTTTCCAGGAGCAGTGATTAAAACCGAGTGTCAAAAGTAAGTTTAATTTAAAAACAGACATTTTGGAGCAAAGAAGAATGAAGAAAACCAAAAACACAAGGAAAATATTAACCCAAGAGACTAAAGGACCACATAAACCAGAGACTCCACAAGCCTGAGACCAGACAAATTAGATGGTACCCGGCTACCACCAATGACCGCCCTGACAGGGAACACAACAAAGTCCCAGATAGAGCAGGAGAAAAGCGTGGAGCAAAACTCAAATTCACGTAAAAAGACCAGACTTAATGGTCTGACAGAGACCAAGGAACCCCCGAAACTATGGCCCCCAGACGGTCTGTTAACCTAGAACTGAAACCATTCCCGAAGTACACTCTTCAGACAAAGATTAGACAGGACTATAAAACAAAAAATAATGTATGTGAGGAGTGTGCTTCTTAGTTCAACCAGATACACGAGACGAAATGGGCAGCTCCTGCCTGGAGGCATGATGAGAAGGCAGGAACACACAGGAACTGGTTGAATGGACACAGGGAACCCAGGGTGGAAAGGGGAAGTGTGTGGTCACATTGTGAGGATTGCAACTAACGTCACAAAACAACCTGTGTATAAATTTTTGTTTGAGAAATTAACTTGAGCTGTAAACTTTCACCTAAATCACAATAAATTAAAAAAATAAAAACAGATGTATGACTTGTCAAATTACACAGTGTTAAATCAAGATTTTCAAAAACAATGAAGCATATTCAATCATAATCGCTTTCACTAAAATTTAAAAATTTAGTGAGAATATTACTTTGAAACTTTACTTCATCTTAATACAAGCTTTTAAAAATTTCTGTAAGTACAGTTGTAGACACATACATATATAAGTAAATATATATATTTTTGAGGTATATGCTGCAAATTTTTTCTTGATAGACACTTGACTGTTCTAAATAGGGATCACCAACTTAGCGGCTTTCCAGGGCCAAGCAAGTAAGGTAAGTAAGTGACATTTTTAAGAAATGGATGTAAGAAAAATAAGGTATGGTGGAACAGATCAGAGTATCTGTGCCCCATCTAAAGGGAGCAGTGGCTACTCAGCTCCAGGCAGTTAGTGCCAGGAGGAACACTCCCCGGCATGCCCTTATCTTCACTTTGTCTGTCTGTTTGCTTTTCCAGGTCCGGATCTTTTTGTAAAATCTTCAGATTTTTAAAAGCTGGCAGTGTACAGGGCAATACTGTGGGGAACAAATATGTCTGTGAGGACAAGAGGCCGATTTTCAAATAGAAAAAATACTAAGTTTTACTAATTAATTAGCACTTGAAAGTAAAGAAATCTGACTACCGTAACTTTTAAAGAGCAATCAGATAATTTGAGAAGGCAGATCTTTCAGAATACAAGTAAATACACAAGGTATGAGTTGGGAAGTAATTACCTAGAAGTGTCATTCCTAAGCAATGAAAATGGTTCTCTATACCTTCCCTGCTCCAAAGCACATATTTGGGGAAATGAGTAGCCTTGGAGTCCCCAGGAATAAGCTAACGGGAAAGTACTGTCCTAAGAGAGAAAAGAGAGGAGTATTCTATGAAGTGGATGGTACTGGCAATTTCATTATCTCACAATAGTGATTCTTCAGAGCTCAGTGAAAAGACATGGGAAGTTACATTGCAACGTCATACAATAGAAATATAATGCAAGCCACATATGTCATTTTAGATTTTCTAGTAGTCACATTTTAAAAAAGTAAAAAGAAACGGTGAAATTAATTAATAATATATTTTATTTAACCCAATATATTTAAAATATTAACATTTCAACATGCAATCAATATGAAAAAATATTAGGTATTTTACATTCTTTCATACTAAGTTTTCAAAATCTCATGTGTCCCTTTTAGCTCAGTGGTGAAGCTACCTCCGAGGTTCACCGTTCAGCCTGGGAGTGGACAGCCCCGTAAAACAAATGAGACTAACGAGGTACAGGAGTCCAGTGACAAGGGCCAGAAGGCAGAAGACAAGGAAAGCTGGTGATAGGGAACCCAAGGTTGAGTAAGGATATTGTTGATGTGTTGTGAGATTGTTAACCATTGTCATAGGGCAACATTTGTAGTAACTGTTAAAATGAGAAACTATTTTGTTCTGTAAGCCTTCATCTTAAGTGAGAATAACAGCACAATTGGAAAAAAAAAAAATCTGGTGTGTACTTTCTACTTAGAGAACATCTCAATTTTGTCCAGTCATATTTCAACTGCTCAATAGCCACATGTGGCTAGTGGCTATGATTTAGAACAGCACAGGTAGAGAGAGAAGATGAGTCAGGAGTAAAAAGCAGATCAGCATAGATATAATAGTACAAGAGGAGTAATGACTGGAGAGGTTTGCATTTTGGATATTCAGTGAAAATCAGGAGTAAGGCATGGTAAAATAACAAGCTCTCGGAATTCAAACAGAACTTGCAGAGCCACAAGGGACAGAGGCTTAAGAGTGTCAGGTTCAGTCAGGGATGGCATATATCGAAACTGGAAGGTATTTTAGCTCAATGCTCTTCACTTTAACAGAGAGAGAGCCAATGCCCAGAAAGATAAGGCAATTTTCCTAATTGCCTACATGCAATTGTATAGGCAGTCCTCTCATTCTGACTTTTTATTCCAGAGTTACTCTAAGCATCTTGTTTACTGTCTTTCAAAATAGAAATAACTTATTTCTAGCATAGAAGGGACATATACAAAACATAAGGAGAGTTAATTTGGGGCAGCATTAGACTTCCACTGAGAGCCTGGAGTCACACCAACTTGACGCCATTCTTAAAAGCTTTTTCTTACCTTGTGAAAGAAGGCAGCACCTGTCAGCACCATGGACAGCTCACAGGAGTAGTTGGAGTTGTAGAGCCAGGACTGATGAGGAATGTCCCATGCATGGTAACGGCCTGGGAAACCCACAATGCGGTCCCGTGCTTCTCTCCACACCCTCAAAAAACATAAATACATACATACAACTGAATACAAAGCACTAAGATTACCAGAAACTTTTAAAATCACTGCCTCTATCTTGCAGGCTCTGGTCCTTGGACTTTTACTTACAAATAGGATAACAAACAAACGGTGTCACACTCAGCTTCCTTAAAAAGTGCCTGCTCTTTACTCCTCTAACGTTTAAGGCAGCCAGCATCTCTCCAACCTTTATGGAAAGAACAAGCTAACATAATGTGGGAAGTAGCTAATAAGTCAGCGGTCTCCACAGAGTGGGGTATATACAACAATCTACTAAGAAGCAGGAAAAAGATACACATTTCTATTTCTATTTTTTCTTATTTCTTAAAAAATTGCTTTTAATGAGCATGATGTATTAGTACAGCAGGACATGTACATATATAATTCATGCACGCTGCATGCTAAACTTTTCTTTACTAAAAGGGTACATAGCCACTGGTCTAAACCACAAGAGACTACTGCCTGAAGTAACATGCCACCAGTCCTAATCCCTGATGTTGAGCAGTGCTAAGGAAGAAGCTTGCACCATGAGAAGTGGTCTATAGGACCAAACAATTGAAAGATCTCATTAAATGCAAGAAATAAATTACAGAATTCAATATGTTTCTAGCAGAGGCTTTTATATCATTCCCAAATTTATAGGTAAGGCAGAACAAATAAAATCAGTCCCCTGGTTTCACAGGCTAAAATCGTAGAGCTAGAAAGCACTTATACTCCGCAGAACCCTACAGCCCTGCAGAAGTGCTTTAGGAGTTCCATATAAAATGAAGTATCACCCCTCATGCCACACTACCTCACCTCCAAATGAACATTTAAACTGTCTGAGAAATACCTCACCTTCACCTCCAAATGAAGATTTAAACTTGTCTGAGAAATACCTCACCTCCAAATGAAGATTTAAACTGTCTGAGAAACTCCCTCATCACTTACATGGAACTTCAGTTTCTGAAACATTTAAGATTTCATTTCAAAAGAGCTCCTCTCCTAATAAGTTTGAAAGCAACGAATTTAAATCGAAAGATGAGACATCACAACTTCTATCACAATATCATAGCCCCTGAATGGGCTTTTTGCTACCTCCTAACCAACTCCTACTTCTATCCTAATTTACCTCCTAAAACTGACTCCAAATCCCTAATCTAAAAATCTACAAAATGTTTTCAGAATATATTTTGACATTTACAGAATGTAATAATTGCTTATAAGTAGCAATATCCAAACGTTGTATCAGTACTCCTATATACACTGATTTCCTCAAATGCCTATTGCTCCTACTAGTCCTGAAATATCAACAGAAGAAAGAATGGGAAATTTAATTTTTAAATCATCTGATTTGGCTATTTAAGTCAATAAAACGTATCCGTTTTCTGGGCTATCAATTTTCGACTCAGAGAGACCCCATGTGACAAAGTATAACTGCCCCATAGAGTTTTCTAGGCAGATCATCGAGTCTTTCTCCCACAGAGCCTCTGGATGGGTTCAAAACACCAGCCTTCCAGTTAGCGGCTGAGTGCTTAATCATTGCACTACCAGGGTACAGTCTCATTTGCTATATGATTTCAAAAGGTAACATATCTGATTTGTTGAAGGCTGTCAACCGTGAGATGGCCAATTATCTATCAAATAATAAGAAAAAAAATCAATGTGGAAGCACTGGTAAGTGATAAACTTAATTTGAAAAAAGGCATAAATACATTCCTAGAAAGATGCATCAAGAGTTTATATAGTTTTTCAACTTAAATAAATCATTCCTACTTTTCTTTTCACACTGATTTAGAAAGCTAATGGTAAATTTCCTTTCTCATCCCCAGTCTCTTTTCAATAAGTGAACTTTTTCTTACAGTTCTTTGCAAACTGACTTTCCACCATCTTTTTATTTGTTTGTTTGCTGTTTGGCTGGCTGGTTTTTATTCATTTCAGTGTGCTGTCTTGTTGTTTATAGCCTCAGAAGTCCTTTCTGAAAAAGGCATTGCAACTCAGGGTGAAAAGTGGGAATGTGCTGTCACATTATACAGATTGCAACTAACGTCACATAACAACATGTGTACAAATTTTTGTATGAGAAAAAAAGGTATTGCATAAATCCAATGAGAAGCTACGTATTAAAACTAAAGCAAAAATTATATTTTTGACTATTTGTAAGTTACCTTCTGCATCATTAAAAGAATTTTTCAATTAAAAAAAAAAAAGTTTATATAGTATGAGCTCAGTGGAGATTTAAAAGTTAGGTGTTTAAAAATATTGATTATAAATAATTCTACCAATTTACACATAAAATTGTTGCACATAATTTACTCAAACTTACGGTGCACAAAATATTTTTAACCTATGTTATGTTTTGGCATACTTCACCTTTCATGAATTAGTCTTTAAATGTGTTATGTTCTTATTAGGGAAAAAGTTTCAAAGTTAATTTTGTAACTCAAACTTAAAGAAATTTCTCTGGATAAATTCAACTTTGCCAAATAACTAAAGAGAAATTTAAAAATAATAAAATCAAGATACTGTTCTACTAAAGAATCTGAATCAGGAGTAATTCATATTGTTAACATTTCAAATTTAAATACTATCACTTTTGAAGTAAATGTATCGATTCCACCTTCTCAAGACATGAACTTTGGCACATAATTTACCACATCATTTTCACATTAGCATAGTCAGCAAAGTGAAAAAAAGAAACTACTGACAGCCCATATGCTACATATTTCAAACTAGGTTAACACATTTTGTGGAAGTCTGTGTGACTCAAATATTTTTTAAATGTATGAACTACCTGAATGAAGCAAAAGGTCATATCATTACTACTGCTTCATTTAAAATTGATTTTCTATTCTTCATAATTTAGGCAAATGGTTTTAAATAAATATCAGTAAATATATGAAGATATTATCACACATTTAGGTAATACAGACTTTACTATACAAAGACACATTCTTATCTTTTGTCTGTTTAAAAAGAAACAGTTGCAGCCAAGTTAACTCCAACTCATGGCAACGCCATGTGTGTCACAGCAGAATTGTGCTCCACAGTGTTTTCAATGGCTGATTTTTGGAAGCAGATAACCAGGCCTTTCTACCGAGGCATCTCTAGGAAGATTCAAACCTCTAAACTTTCGGTTAGCAGCCGAGCTCGTTAACCATTTGCACAACCGAAGGACTCCATGGTTGGTTTTTTTGGTCAGTTTTACTTCCCTGTTTTGCCCTCTGCTTGATTAACAATCAAATAATTTGAAAACTCAATTTAAAAATAGTGTGAAATCCTACCTGACTTCAGAACCTACTATACAGCTACAGTAGTCAAAACAGCCTGGTACTGGTACAATGACAGATACATTGACCAACGGAACAGAATTGA